ATTCTGACCCAATATCCATCCGACCTGTGAATTCATACTATCCCAGCCCGGCCGGCATCGCCCCCCTCCCCACCATCCCTTGCAAAAACAACGTTATGCGCGCGCACTCATTTAGCAGAAACTTCAAGATTCCAGAAATCTCTTGCGCAAAAAAACGGCACGAAGTGCACACGCGCGCGTCGCCGCGCGCATGCCGAAATCCTTGAAGAAAACCGGTCCGGAAGGATTTCGCAATCGAGTGTCCAAGCAACATGTATGAAGCAACGCCGGGTTTCGCAACCCGGGTTTTCAACAACAGCGTACGCGCGCGTTTTTGCAATCACTGCAACAAAAACCACAAGTTTTTCAACTACTACCACACGGCTTCGCGCGCGCATGTCGAATTCTTTCGAACGCCCTTGCGCGCTTGCCGTCGCGAGAATCCTCCGCAAACACTTTGACGAAATGCACGCGCGTGCGTCGTCGCACGGGCATGCCGAAATGTTTCAACAACCTTTGGTGTCGGAAGGGTTTCAAAATCGACTGATCAAAAAAAAAAAAAAAAAAAAACATACAAACACACAGGGTTCCGCAGCACGGAGTTTCAACAAAAGCGTGCGCGTGCGCGTGCGCTTGTGTCGTGGTCGTCGTCATCGTCGCCACCCTCCGTCCTCCCTCGTCGTCGTCGTCGCCGTCGTCGTCCTCTGTCTTTCCTCGTTGTCGTCGTCCTCTTTGGGGTCGTCGTCGTCGTTACCGTCGTCGTTGTCGCCGTGGTCGTCGTTCCTCCTCCCCCGTCGTCGTCGCCGTCGTCCGTCGTCGGCATCTCTTCGTCGTCCCTCTTATTTCGTCGCCGTCGTCTTCGTCGTCGTCGTCGTCTTCCCTCCTCCGTCGTCGTTGTCGTCGTCGGCGTCGCCGTCCTCCCTCCTTCTTCGTCGTTCGCGTCGTCGCCGTCATCCCTCCTCCCTCGTCGTTGTCGTCGTTGTCGCCGTCGTCGTCCTCCCTCTTCCCTCGTCGTCGTTGTCGCGTTTGTTGGCGACGTCGTCGTCGTCGTCGTCGTGTTCGTTGTCGTCGTCGGCGTCGGCGTCATCGTCGTCGTCGTCGCCGTCGTCGTCGTCGTCGTCGGCGTCGGCGTCGTAGTCGTCGGTGGTGTTGTCGTCGTCGACGTCGGCGTCGTCGTCGTCGTCGTCGGTGTCGTCGTCGTCGTCGCCGTCGTCGTCGAAGTCGTTGGGGACGTCGTCGGTGTCGTCGTAGTCGTTGTCGGCGGCGTCGTCGTACTCGTTGTTGTCGCTGTCAGCGTCGGCGTCGGTGTCGCTGTCAAGTGCCATTTGGTACATACCGTCAGGGTCCTAAGAGGTATTGCGATCAAGTTGCGGGTGGGAGGGTGAGATGTTCGCACGAGCAGTGGAGAGGACAGCTTCAAGCTGAGCAAGTGAATTGCACCTTACATATTGCACAACACAGGTTGCACAAGAGTGGTTGCACCGCATGTATTCCCCTTTCCCAAAGGTAATCAAGGACTTTGGATCTACCGCCCCCGACCCCATCCCCGAGACGATCCCCCCGCCGTGGGGATGTGCAATTTTCGGTTCTGGCCCGTCATTCTGATTACAAACATCCCCGCCATGTTGGGTTCGACCCCCCCCCCCACCAACCTTTTGCAAAAAAACAGTATGCGCGAACACTTGTTCATAGCTACAAATGTTCAAGCACAGGTTGAAGAAACGGGGCGAACTGTACACGCGTGCGCCGTCGCACGCGCATGCCGAAATATTTGAAACACCATAGGTTTCGTGTGGATTTCGAAGCTGAGTGCCCCGAAACCACACAACATTACAATAGTTTCGCAAGGTGAGTCGCCTTCACAACAAAGTCTGCGCGCGCGCTCTCGCGCATTGTTCATGAACAGCCAGCGGTGTACAACATGATTGTAACAATCCACCAACCAGGCCTTTCGCGCGCGCATGCCGAAATCATTCGAACGCCGTTGCGCGCGCGCTGGGGGGGTGGGGCATGATACCTTTCAAAAAATACCATGCTGGCCACTCGCGCCCGTCGGCCGCGCGGGCAGCGAAATCCGTCCAAAACCTTCATCGCCGACATGTGGACACCACCATCGTCATCGGCGTGATCAGCGTCGGCGCCATCGTATGCCTTCCCGTCCTTACCTACATCGTCATCACTAGCATCGCTACCGTCATCGTCGTGTCTGCCCTTGTCGACGTTGCCATGATACCGCGCCCGCCCGACTCACCGATTCGCATTATAGTGCCTGCTCGTAAGGGCGACCTGTGAGACGCGTTGGGAAGTGCACAGCGGTCCGCGCCACCGCGGCCGCGTTGTTCGCGCAAGATTGGCTGGCCGCTTTGCGAGCGAGCCTGCGCGGGCTAGCCATCACCAGCCAGGGATCAGATTCGCCGCCGCATGGGTCTTGCAAACGACGTTGCGGGTGGGCGGGTGGGAACGTTGCCCGAGCAGTTGAGTTGACAAATCAACGCGAGCCAAAATTAAATGCACCACATAGATTGGACCACGTAAGATGTACCACATACATCGCACCACATCGATTTCTTGGAACACATGTGTTGGTGCCCGCACTGGCTAACATAGTTGTGTGTATGTAAAGATAGACACAATTATGCTCGCATGCAGACGCGAACAAATATATACATATTTGCCATGCAACAAGCTGGTCATGTGGGAAGCGGCACCTGATATCTTTCTCCGTTTTGGGCTTGCTTGGCCCATCCACAGCCTCTGAGACCGCCCAACAAAGACGCAGGATTAACTCCTCGTCTACGGGAAAAGCGCGCAGATCGAGGATCCGTTTCTCCCGGGACCCGAGATTGTCACGTTACAGCCAACCCGCACTGTTAGGATAAGCAGTTTTCCAAGGCTACCTCTGCATCCTTCCCCTTCGGCCCATCCGTGGCCGCTTTCGCTGCCCGCGCCCCGCCGGCAAATTGCCGACGTTGCTTTCCAAGGCCCCCTTGCATCCTTATCGTGCGCTCTTATTATACGGGGGAACCGCACGGGAAAGACCTGCAGATCCAGGACCCGTTTCTGCCAGGACTTGTGTCTCTCTTGTTAATATAGCCAGTCGCTCACGAATAGCACGGCGACAACAGCACAAATCAGGACATCGATTCTGGCCTCTTACAAAAAACGTTGAATCGAGAACGGTTTTATCGAGGGTGATTTGTACTATGGTACTCGCGTTTCGCTCGAACATTCTCGACTCTGCTGGTGAAAGGTAGCCCCAGCGGCGAGAGAGGGGGGCTCCCCTGTTGCGTGCTATGTGAGCCGCGTGCTACGTGAGCCGTTCCGCCTAGACCAAGTCAGGAGGGGGGAGGGAGGAGGTAGGGGGAGGGAGGGAGGGGGGGAGGGAGAGAGGGAGGAGGGGGGAGAAGGAGTAGGAGGAGGAGGAGGAGGAGGAGGAGGAGGAAACACCTTTTGCCCACATCACATCGAACGTTGGCCCCTGGGCAAGTCTGACGAGGGCAAAGAGCCACGCTGATGGCCGCAGTCGAGAGGGAGGTGGAGGTGGAGGAGGAGAAGGACGAGGACGGAGATGAGGGTACACGCGGGACCAACATAGCACAAGTCAGCAGGATTCGGGGCATCGCCCCTGAAAGAGGAGGTTCGGCGGAACGGGGCCAGGAGAAGGAGGAGGAGGAGGAGGAGGAGGAAGAGGAAGAGGGGGAGGAGCGAGCCCACGGAGCGACGTGCTGAGTCAGACTGAGGACGGATGGAGGAGGAGCAGGAGGAGGAGGCGGAGGAGGAGGAGAAGAAGGAGGAGGAGGAGAAGGAGGAGGAGGAGAAGGAGGAGGAGGAGGAGGAGGAAGAGGAGGAGGAGGAGGAGGGGGGGGGGAGGAGGAGGAGGAAGAAGGGGAGGACGATGACCCATGCCAAAAAACACTCTGCTTGCCCCCAGGCTGCCCTGGGTTCCTCCTGTTTCGACTGTGGCCATAGAGAGCATGGCGCACTCCCACGCCAGAAAATCACTGGGCGTCCTGGGGTCTCAGGGTCGGGTTTCTTTTAGAATGTTTCTTGTGGTCAAGCTCCCACTGCATTTCTCCTTCGCTCTGGGAGCAGGGGGGGTCCGAAGAATGGCCTCGCGCGTTGAGAGTTGCGCGGCACGGGTTCACGGTGCAAGGGCGAGGAGGGAGAGGAGGAGGCACGCGGGGCCAACATAGCACAGGTCAGCAGGATTGGGGGCACCGAAAACAATCGTGTACATGTCCCCGTTCCCTGTGCTTGTTGCTGCTACTCCACCTCTACCTCCACATCCGGCCCCCCTCCTTCTTCCAACTCTTTTTGTCTCCCTCAAGTCATGGGGGAGGGGCGAGGATAGCACAGCGCGCATAGAGCACGAAGCAGGGGACGGGACTAGCACGCAGAAACTTGGACAGGGGCCGTTCTCGACCTCCCCGGAGCACAAAAAGCAAAAGCCACCCACACATCAAACCATTGGGTTCAAAAAATACGAACAACTCGGTGTTTGAATATTTACCATACGTCAAAAGCGACCCATCGCAACAGCGCAAACCCATTTTTGGCTTGTGCTATTCGAAAGCGCCCGAGTATGCGTACGCCTTCCTCCCAGGGGGCGTGTCGACCGCCGAGTCCCGGTCAGGATCGACGAGGGTGTTGGTTGGCATCCTCCTGGCCAGAAGATACAAATGGGCAGAAGGGAGAGCTGTTCGGGGAAGCTCGGAGGATTGGTGCGGTGGGGGGAACCTGGGGACGACGCACTGGCTGACGTCGCCTTGATGGGATGTCTGGCGGCGAGCGAAGGGAGGGAAGTGCGAAAGAGAAGGCCTTCTCAGAAGGCGGCGGGAGATTCTCAGAAGCCCTCCAACCTTCTGAGAAGTGTTTGGTGTCTTCGCGGAAGGCTTAGGAAACTTCTCAGAAGTCCATGGGGGTTCCGAGCCTTCTGAGAAGCTTTCCTTCTCATTTCCCCCCCATGGCTCGCCGCCGAGAATTGCATTCGCCAGAGGCAGGGAATAACACATGGCTTCCAGCACATGGAGCAGGAACTCCAGCACAGGCCGCAGGGTTATGGCTTCCCTCCCGCTTCGGTGTGGAGAGTCTATGCTCAATGATCGCTATGATGGGGAATGGCCCATGTTGTGTTAATGGTGGTATGTGCCGCGAGTGTTATCCATGTTGTAGCGACTATGGCAGCGCAATTGCCGTGTTCATCCTCGCGAAATCGGCGGCAATTTCGATGGAATCCGGCATGTTGATGAATGTGGCAGTGGTGTCGATCGGAGGGGCCCTGTAGAAAGACATTCGCGAGCCATGGAAGAGAAACGATTGGTCTTCGGGCGATTGCGGTCCGAGGTACACATCCCAAACCATGTGTTCGCTCACGGGGGGACGAGGAGGGCAACAAGCGCAGGTTTGGCCGTCTAACAGAGAGGGCGGCCTAGGAGCAGCGAGGAGGAACACGATTGGGACGAGGTGAGCAAGAGTCCCCCTCGTCGTCCTCATCCTTCTTGTCGTCCTCCTGCGTCTGTTCTCGCTCCTTCTACTGCTACGGCATATACGAGCGAGGGACACCATGGGGGGCGCATCTTGCAACGAGGCCGCGGACATGCAGTTGCACCTTCTTGTCGGTAGCTAGCAATGTCCTCTTGACGTCGAACGGGCCGGTTTTGATGATGGTGACGACGAGAAGGCAGAATTGAAGTCAAGTGTGAAAACGACGGCGACGCTGTGCGCCTCAACGCACTGCGTTCCCATTGCTGTGAGGACGCGGCTGGCGACTGGACATCAGAAGGGCAGACAGCGGGCGTTGGCTGAGAGTTTTGCCGAGCTCCATCGTCTTCGGAAGTGTTGGAGCCAGCGGTCTGGAGGGAACGAGCCGCTGTCGACCAGCTTCCCACGCACACACTTGCATCGATCAGTTCGGAGAGCTGCGTTGTCACGCTCATTTGTCTCGCGTTTCGAAGTGACGTTGCTGGGTCTACTTGTGAAAGCCAGGAGGTGTGAATACCGTGCGTGGCCGACGCATCTGCAGCCGCAGCCGAGTGTTTTGATGTTGCGCCCAGTGCCGGTCCTTACGTCCGCAGAAGTGAAAGGGGATTACCAGGTCCACGTTGCCTCCCTGAGCTGGTGGTCGGAGATGCCTTGAGCGGGACACCGAAAACCAACAACACATCTCACACCACTCCACCGCGAGGACCTGTCAATATTCCGTTTGATGGTGATTATGCCGATTGTTCTAGCTCCTCCTGTACATCGGGCTGCCCGGATCTGTTCGAGACACGGGCTCCCTGGTCTCTCAACGCTTTGCTCAGGGGCCGGTGCTTCATGCTGAGTTTCTGCTTTGACGATCTTTGGGCCCAAGAGTAGCCGCCAGAGGCCAAAGATGGGGAAACATTGGGTGCCTGGGGATCCGATTAGCGATCGTTTTTTTATTCATTGTTTTGCCGATCGGCGCTGACCCTCGCACACCCCCCTCCGCCCCCATGGAGTAGCTCTTGGCTGTTTGGGCCGCCTGTTTCACGCAGGTGGAGTCTCCCCCCGTACGACGCACTGGTGCAAACAGTCGCATGAAGCAGAGGTCTGGAGCCAGACCCCCCCCCCTTCCGCCCAATGTCGAAACGCCGGATACGGTGGAGGCGTTTGCTAAGGACTGGTCCCCAAAAACGCCAGGCCCTGGAGGATTCCTGCCTGCCTCCAGGGTGCCCTGGGTGTCTTGGGTCTCCAGGGTTCTGCGACGGGAAGCACGGCGTCCCCACGCCAGAAATGAATGGACTTCCTGGGGTCTCAGGGTTGGGCTTCTTGTGGCAGGTTTCTCGTCGTCGGGGCCCTCCTGTGGCGCGCAGATGGATGATCGCATCGCTGCCGCCTTCGGTGCTCCCTGGGGCTTGGCGGCGCCTCGCCGAGCTTGAAGACTATCAGCGCGTCGGCTGTGTGCTCTTTGCTCGGACCAGGGTGGGTAGAGCAGGGGTCGCTCTCGGGCTCGGAAGGGCGGTCGCTGTTCCGAGGGCGGCAGCAGCAGGGGGTCCACCTCCTGCCTCGAGGCCCCCCAAAGCAGGACCTTAAGCCTGAAGAGCATCCCTTCGACAGCCGCCCTCCTTCCTCCCCCTCGTCGTGCGCCTGCTCCTCCTCCTCCTCCTCCTCCTCCTCCTCCTCCTCCTCCTCCTCCTCTTTCTCCACCTGCCTCTAGTCGCTTAAGCCTGAAGCGCATCCCTTCGACAGACGCCCTCCTCCTTCCTCCCCCTCCTCCTCCTCCGCCTCCTCTTCCTCTTCCTCCTCCTCCTCCTCCTCCTCCTCCTCCTCCTCATCTTCCTCCACCTGCCTCCAGTCGCCACTGGGAGGGAGGGGGGGTAATTAGGGTCCTGCAAGCCCCTCGCCATCTTCGGCCTGCCGGGGCCCTCTCCGCGGGACTCGGGACTACCCCCAAGTAGCGGCCAAGGATTTATGCTGTTCCATCTAATTTTACCTTTCACCACCAGAGAGAATTTCGAGCACCAGGAAATAAAAAGTACCGAAACTCGAAGGTTTTCACGTGTCGGGCCGTATGTGACACTCGTCCGACACTGTGTCGACACTTTTCCAGGTGCTCGAAATTACTTCTGGGATGTGGGCCTTAAGTTCGATGGGAACAACATAACCCAGGATGAAAAAGTTGGCCTCCGGGGACCGGCCCCGGGAGCCAGGACCTGCTTCCAGCAGGGGAGCTCCCCCGGAGGCCAGCGGAGGTCTGCGGCATGGCCGGCGGGGGCCTCTCCAGAGGCAAGGAGCAGGGCGTTGGCCGGATGGTCGGTCGGCGTCCACCACGCTGGAGGTGCCGTGGTCTTGGTGGAAGGGGCGGCCTGGCCCCCCTCCCCACACCTGGCCCTTCCTTCCCCCCTTCTGGGGCTGGGTCACAGGGCCGCGGCCCCCGGTCGCGAGGATTGTTTGAGCAGTAGATGGGGTCCAAGAAGTGCACCCCGCCCCGCTTGCTCCCGCCTTCCTGGGAGCGGGGCCAGGTGGGGGGTGGGGGTGCTTCTTTTCTCCCCTGTGTGTGCGTGTTGGGGTTCTCCTTTGCTCCCCTGTGTGTGTGTGTGTGCGTGTGTGTGTGTGTGTGTGTGTGTGTTTGTGTTTATGTATGTTTGTGTGTGTGTCTTGCGTTTGTGCTTATGTTTGTTTTTGTGTTTGTGCTTGTGCTTGTGCTCGTGTTTGTGCTTGTGTTTGTGATCGTGTTTGTGTTTGCGTTTGTGTTAGTGCTTGTGTGTGTGTGTGTTTGTGTTGGTGTGTGTGTGTTTCTCTTTTGTGGGGGGCCCTCCGACTTCGGCCAGTCTCGGGAGCCCATAGGAACCCTCATATAGCCCGCGTGCCTCCCCGCTCTCGCCCCCCCCCCGCCCCCCCCCGCCCCTCCCCGAGCGTGAAGCCGACGTGAGGCATCCGTTCCCTCGCGCTCGTAGGATGCTAGCTACGCCGAGGCGTTGAGCGCATCCCCCGGCGGCGCGCTTATCAAGGCTCAAGGGGGGGCGGGCCGGCCAGTTGGGGCGGCTTCCCGAGAGGGCGGGGGGACTTTTTGTGGGACGAGGCGGAGGGCCTCTTGTCGCAGGGGCCCGGGGGTTTCTGAGGAGGCCCTCGTAGAGGCTGGGAGGGTTTCCGATTGAGCTCACGACCCTGTTGGGAGTACACGCCGGTCGTTGAAAGTAGGTATTTTCGGACTCCCAGATCCCAATCTACTTCAAGCGCCTTAGTACTTCAAGAATCGATCTGCTTTTGCTGAGGTTAATTGTTCTCTGGGAGGATCTGAACCCAATCTACTTTATACGCCTTCCTACTTCATGTGTTTTACCTACTTATTCCGACCGACGTGTACTTACCCCAGCTCCTCCCCGGAAGGCCATTCATCTTCATGATGGTCCAACCTACTCTAGCCTTGATCACCAGTAACAACTTCGAGCACCAGGGAAGTATCGGCACTGGACCGCTTTCACGTGTCAGGCCTTGGGAGTCGATGCTCCTTCGGCGCCTCGCCGAGGTGTCGGGCAGACAATGTTTCGATACTTGCCGAGGTGCTCGACATTATGTCTGGGATGTGGTCCGTAAGTTCCATGGGGGCAGCGTGAATTCATCCCTGCTCCTTAGACGTAGGTCCCGCCTGTCGCAACCCAGACTGGTCGATAGGGCGAGCAGGGCGTATCGCTCGAGAGGGCATGGAAACCAACCGCCCTGAAGCCTGGAACTTGCAAGGGTTTCACAGATGGGGGCGAGAACTTTTCCAAAGGCGGTTCTCGCGTCAGCGCCGCCCACATCCGTGTTAACAGTTTGCAGCAGCTTCACGGTTGCAGGGCCGCTTTAGCAGCAGCTGCACTGTTGCAGTTTGCAGCAGCTTCACGGCTTTCACGATGTAGGTTTCGCTTTAGCGCCGCGTACAGTCGCCTGACAAGCTTACAATCGTTTCAGAGATAAACGGTGGTTTCTTTTCAAAATGTGGTTCTCGCCTCGGCGCCGCGCACAGTCATCGCAAACGGTTGCAACGGTTTCAAGGACTCGTAAGGTGGATGCAGGAGTGGTGTGTTGGCCCCGTTTAGGATTGCCAGGACACAGCAGTCATGATGGCTCGCGGTGTTGCCAGGGGTTGTGTCTTTGACAGATAGAGGATTGTCAGGAAGCACCATTCACACTGATGCGCGGTGGTCCAGTCCCAGGAACTGCGTGTTGGCACGATTGGGGATCTCAGGCGGGCAATTTCCCGCAATGAAAACAAATTATTGCAGGGGCCGGTGAAGGAGGAACTAAGAGACAGGATGTATTGCAAGATCGTTGATGCGTCTTGGGCTTACACTGGTCCCTCCTCCTCCTCATCCTCCTTCTCTTCCTCCTCCTCCTTCCTCCTCCTCCTCCTGCTTCTCCTCCTCTCTCCTCCTCCGCCTCCTCCTCTCTCCTTCTCTTCCTCCGCGTCCTCCTCCGCCTCCTCCTCTTTTCTTTTCCTTTCTCCTCCTTTCTCCTCCTCCTCCTCCTCCTCCTCCTACTCCTACTCCTACTCCTCCTCTCTCCTCCTCCACCTCCTCTTTCCTCCTCTTCCTCCGCGTCCTCCTCCGCCTCCCCCACCTCCTCAGAGCGCGCGCACGTGCCATTGCGTCGCGGCCACGGCAGACGTCCGCTTCAGCACGACCGCTGACGGGCCTCGTGGCCCTCCGAGCCAGGAGAGCGGCGGAGGAGGAGCAGGCAAAGGCCTAAGAGCCGTAACAGGCATCGTCTGCGCAGGCTGAGGCCAAACGGTATCTCCCTGTTCGAAATCCCCGCCCTCCCCCAGAAGGCCATGCTGCCGCGTCCCGCCCCGAAGGCATCCCACGGCCCCCTCCTCCCGCACGGGCAGGCGGCGTGCGAGGCCGCGAGCGCCTCGAGGCCCTCCGAGACAGGACAGCGGCGGAGGAGGTGCAGGCAAACGCCTAAAAGGCGTCACAAACATCGTTCAGGCTGCGGCCCAACGAGTAATCGTTTGCTTATGCATTGCTTTTTTCCCGATCGGCGCAGGCCCTCGCACCCCCCATTCCCCTCCCCCCATGAAGCAGATCTTGGCTGTTTTCAGCGCCTGTTTCGCGCAGGTGGAGTCTCCCCCATAGGACGCACTGGTGCAAACAGTCGCGCTAAGCTCCCCCCCTCCCCACCCCAGAAGGCCAGGCTGCCGCGCCCCGCCCCGAAGCAATCCCACGGCCTCCTCTCCCGCACAGGCTGGCGGCGTGCGAGGCCGCGAGCTGGCAGCACTCCGAGGCTGGGAGCCCGCGTGGGGCTTGGCAGCGTCCACCCTCGAGGAGGAGGAGGAGGAGGAGGAGGAGGAGGAGGAGGAGGAGGGGGAGGAGGACGAGGAAGATAACGAGGAAGATAATGAGGACGAGGAAGATGAGGAGGAGGAGGAGGAGGACGAGGAGAGTAACGGAGAGGAGAACGTGGAGGAGGACGAGGAGGAGAACGAGGAAGAGGACGAAGAGGAGGAGGAGGAGGAGGAGGAGGAGGAGGAGGAGGAGGAGGAGGGGGAAGTTGAGGCCGAGGAGGAGGAGGATAACGAGTAGGAGGAGAAGGAGGAGGAGGAGGAGAACGAGAGGGGGAAGAGCAGGAGGAGCAGGAGGAGGAGAACGAGGACGAGGATGAGGAGCACGAGGAAGAGGAGATGGAGGCGGCGGAAGGAGAGAAGAGGGAGGAGGCGAACGATGATGATCACGACCACGGCAACGATTGGGAGGTCGAAGAAGTCCAGCGGCGACGTATTTCTGCCAGTTGGGGCGGCGACGCGCCAAAGAAAGTTGTTTCGGTGTCCCGCCCCCAAGAGAAGATCAGCTGCCCCATCGTGCCGCGAGATCGGGCACCTTTGCCCTCTCCACCTGCCTTTTCTCCTCACCCATCCCTCCCGCCTCCTTCCCTTTCCTCCTCCTCCTCCTCCTCCTCCTCCTCCTCCTTCATCTCCTCCTCCTCCTCCTCCTCCTCCTCCTCCTCCTCCTCCTCCTCCTCCTCCCCCTCCTCCAACTACCCCCCTCCTCAAGGGCGGCTTCCTCTGGTCTTCTGAGACCGTGCTTCCCCGAGCGGTCATGTTCTCGGATTGTTACGGCGGCCGCTTCCAGTGGAGTCACGACGCCCGTCTTGGCGGAGGCATGTCTACACACGCATTGATGCAATGTTCGGCGGCCTTGTAACGCCTTTAGCGGGGGTAGACATATTCTGATCACACTGAATCGTTGGAGCGTCGTCATGATGCTTGTTGCTAGTCCTACCGCGCCCTTCCTCACTACCATCTCTGATCATTCCGCTGCACATGCTGCCTCGTCTTGTTACTTGGTTCCTAAGTGCGTTCCTCTCCTCATCCCCGTCGCCGCTGAGGTACTTATTTCCCAGCTCTGCTTAATGATCCACTCATGCTTCTCATTTGCCTCACCCTCCTCCTCAGGCAGGGACCCAGAGAAGGAGGAGGAGGAGGCGGAGGAAGAGGAGGAGAAGGAGGAGAAGGAGGAGGAAGAGGAGGAGGGAGGAGGGAGGAGGAGGAGGCAGGAGGAGGAGGGAGCAGGAGGAGAGAGAAGGAGGAGGAGGAGGAGGAGGAGGGAACAGGAGGAGGAGAAGGAGGAGGAGGAGGAGGAGAGAGGAGAGAGGAGAGAGAGAGGAGGCGGAGGAGGAGGAGGAGGAGGAGGAGGAGGAGGAGGAGGAAGAGGAGAAGGAGGAGGAGGAGGTGGATGAGGGCGAGCAGAAAGCCAGAGGCCTCTCCTCGGATTTCACTCGAGAGCTTCTTGGGGTCGACTTGGGGCGACCGAGCCGCGCCATTCGCCGCGGAAGCACGTGCCGCCTCCGCCGCTGCCCCGGGCTGCCGCTGCCCCGCGCGCCGCGAGGCTGCCGCGGCACGGGCGGCCGCCGAGCCGCTCGCCGCCAGTCTGGCCCCAGAGCTCGCTGGCATCTTGGCGCGCCCCGCCGCCGTTGCACGCCAAGCGACCCGCCGCCGCCATCGTCGTCGTCGTCCTCCTCCTCCTCTTCCTCCTCGTCATGCTCTTCCCCGACCTCTTCTCCTCCTCCTCCTCCTCGTTATTCTCCTCGTGATCCTCCTCCTCCTCCTCCTCCTCCTCCTCCTCCTCCTCCTCCTCCTCCTCCTCCCCCTCCTTCTCCTCCTCCTCCTCTTCGTGCTTACCTTCTGGATGTCCCAGGGGCTGCCTCCTGGGAGCCTTCTGCGGGCTTGTTGGGAGTCTCTTGGGTGCATCCTGGGGGTACATTTTGGGCCTCTTTGGGGGCATACTGTAGGGAAAGGCTCTCAGGCCCTCGACTCGAGAAGGACACTTGTTTTAAAGCACCTGAAAGAGCTTTCCGACTCCGCAGTCGACCAGTCGGGGAGTCGGCCAGTCGGGGAGTCAGCCAGTCGGCCAGTCGGCCAGTCGGCCAGTCGGCCAGGGACGGGGTCGGGTATTTAATCCCGGTGCCGCAAAAATTATCCAAATGATTCGGGGCCCAAAAATTGTCCAAATGATTCGGGGCCATCTTGAGGGTCTTTCTGGCCACTTTCCCTGTCTGGCTCGCCTCCTCTCGTCCCTTGTCATACTCCCGCCTCCCCCTTCCTCCTCCCTTTTTCCCTGGACCAAGGGGCGCAAGCCGCCCACCAAGATCCAGTATTGTAGTTGATGCCGGACATGTACAGGCCAACGTCCGAATAGGGATGACCACACCATCGAGGTGGGGCCTTGGGCATCGCTGCAATGCGTTCGTACTCGGGCTTATGTCCAAATCCCCTCGCTATTTGCCTTCTCTTCTCCTCCGTCATCATCATCAGCAGCAGCAGCTGCATCAGCATCATCAGCATCATCATCGTATTCCTCCTCCTCATCATCACAATCATCATCATCACCATCATCACCATCATCACCATCACCATCACCATCACCATCATCATCAGCATCATCAGCATCAGCATCATCATCATCATCATCATCATCATCATCATCATCATCATCATCATCATCATCATCATCATGATCATCAGCATCACCATCACCATCATCATCGTCAGCATCATCCTCATCATCAGCAGCAGCATCATCATCACCATCATTCCCACCACTCACCCCCACCACCCCCCACACCCCTCCCTCCTCCTCCTCCTCGGTCCTCCTCGAGGGCTCCCCTTCCCGTCCCTCCTCGGTCCTCCTTGAGGCCCCCCCCCCCCGGCGCCGCGGGAGGCGCAGCGCGTCATCCTGGCGTGGCGCCGCGCGAGTGGCGCGAGCTTCGCCGCCGAGGAGGGCCGCGCGGGCTCCGCCACGGAGAGGGGGGGGGGGGGGCGAGGAGGGAGGAGGAAGGGGAGGAGGAGAAGGGAGGAGGGAGGAGGGAGGAGGAGGAGGAGGGGGGGGGGACAAGCTATGTGCGCTCGCGTCATATCTGACGTCCTACCCCTCCCTCCCATCCCTTACCATGGCGCTGATTTTATCTATCCGCGGACGCGTGTCGTAGCAGACCTGTGGCTCCGCGCGCGCGTGCGTAGTGGGTGGTGGTGCGCGTGCGTGCGTGCGTGTGTGCGTGGTTGTGGTTGTGGTTGTGGTTGTGGTTGTGGTTGTGGTTGTGGTTGTGGTGGTGGTGGTGGTGGTGGTGGTGGTGGTGGTGGTGGTGGTGGTGGTGGTGTGTGTGTGTGTGTGTGTGTGCGTGTGTGCGCGTGTGCTGTGGTGTGACGTGGTGTGGCGTCTTGGTGGTTTGGTGGTGGGCCAGGTGCGTGCGTGCGTGATGGCGGTGGTGGTGGTGGCGGTGGTGGTGGTGGTGGTGTTTGTGCGTGTGTATGTGTGTGTGTGCGTGTGTGTATGTGGGTGTGTGCGTGCGTGTGTCTCTGTGTGCGCGCGCGTGTGATGTGGTGTGACGCGGTGTAGCGTGGTGGTGGTGGGTGGGGTAGTGGGGTGGTGGTGGCGGTGCGCGTGGGTGCGTGCGTGCGTGCGCTGGTGTGTGGAAGTGGCGGTGGGCGGGGCGGGGCGCGGTGCGGTGGTGGCGGGCGGATGGGCGCGCGAGAAAGAGGCCCGCGCTGGGGCGAGAACGCCATCCTGAACGACGGAGGCAAAATACCAATCCGAAAATGAGACCCACGCTGCAGCGGGAGCACGATTCGGAACGAGCGGGGCCCGAAAATAAGGCCGGCGCCTCAGCGAGAGCAGCATTTTGAAAACAAATGCAGGCGAAAACACAATTCCCGGGAATCCTGTGTGTAAAAAAGCAGGACGCGGGGGGGGGGGGGGGGGGGGCGAACACTCCCAGCACGTCATCAGGGGAAAGGGAGAGTAGTAGTCATATTGAGTAATTGTGGAGGAGGAGGAGGGGGAGGAGGGAGGAACGGGGGGAGCAGGAGGGGGAGGGAGGAGGAGGGATGAGGACGGGGAGGAGGGGGGTTAGGAGGAGAGCGGGGAATGGAGGAGGAGGAGGAGGAGGAAGACAGAATGAAGAGGAGGCGGAGGAGGAGGAGGAGGAGGAGGAGGAGGAGGAGGAGGAGGAAGAGGCGATGGAGGAGGGGGGGGCGGGGAAGGAAGGGGGAGCGGGTGGAGGAGCAGCAGGAAAAGGTTCCCAACGACGGTCGACGGCTTCCCGTCCCCGCCTCCCCTCGTGTCTTCATCATACTTCTTCTCCTCCTTCTCCTCTTCCTTGTTCCACGGGTGTTCCCCCCAGGGCACCTCAGTGCCATTGGCGCCTTGTACAATTCCCCATGGGCTGAGTAGGAGTTAGCGGCTGCTTGCAGTGCATGTTTGGAATCGGCCCGGGAGTCATCCAAGTGTGCCCCCGCTCGGGCTCCATTTGGCCTCAGCTTTTGACGCTCCCATTTGCCACCGAGTGAAAATCTTGGCGGTCTCTCGCCCTGGATCCAGCAAGTTCGTGCTCACGGCTTGGGCCTTTGCCTCTCTTGGCCGAATGCGCACCAGAGACCGAGCCAGTCGCACAGCGAATCGTTGCCTGCATGGCTCCTGATGGGGCACGTGCACAGATAGCGCCACACGCGAGATACCTGAGCGTCTTCCTGGCTGGGGCCAGCGGTGTGGCTCGATCTCCAGTGGACGGCTGCCTTCGGCAAATCCTGGCTTCGGGCAGTGCAGCTCGCGGCCTGTGCCAGGGCCGACAGTGGCCACCAGACTCTACGGCACGTGCACCGTCTTTCCTCGCGCAAAATGTTCGTTTACCCTGCTCCTTGCTCAGGCACGAGCGCGGCACACGGCGCAGGATTTGTTGTGCCCCTCCTCGGTCCTCGATGCTTCGCCCGACCTCCTCGGTACTCGGCCGTGGTCTCGGACCTCCTCCCCTGCCGCGCGTGTGCCTTCTGCGCTGGCGTCCGCCTGGCGAGCTGCTTCAGTCACGAATCCATCGTGGCCCACGGCTTTCAGGGTTCCTGTTACTGCTCAGGAGCAGCTCAACCCAGAAGTGACCCAGGCTTGCGTCGGGCGTGTCCCTCTACAGGGGGAATATTCCAAACGAGTCAAAAATAATATGGGGACGATGTTTGATTTGTTTGAGCATGTGGGGAGTTTTGGCGTACTTTTCAATTTGTCGCCCAAAATCCCCTCGTAGGGGGACGCGCCCGACTTGAACCCAGGCGGACCTGGGCCGCGTCCGCATTCGGGGCGCTGGCCTCGGTCGTGTTCGGCAAGAGCCCGAGCGTCACCGAGCACTGGAACTCATTTCGGGCAGATTAGCTGCCATCCAGTGTCTCGCGCCCGGGGTGGCGCACGGCCGGACGTGCAGCGGAAGAGGAGAGCTTCTCCGCGTCGAGCGAGGGACGGCGTGCGAGAGTCCAGCGAACCCTCTCTTCCCCGTTGCGCCGCCTCCCTCTGCCCCGACGCTTTCGCTGAGACGCTTGCGAGCCGTCCGGCCAACGCACTTCCCCGCGTCCCGAATCCGGCCGACCGACAGGGAAGCTGGCAATCGCTCTCAAGCTGCCTGTGCAAGAAGGCCCCTGCGCTTCGCTGGTCCGTCTTTTAGACGCTGCCTGGGGCATGGTGGACCAGCCGCCGCTCCCCCCTTTCGGACCTCGCACTCCGTGCCTGCTCGGCTGCGCGACTTGCCCTGTATCTTGGGGGCGGCAAAGAGGGGGGTGGTGAGAAGGGGGGATATCATGGCGGGGGCCATGATACCTCCCCAGATGTCATGGCGCCTCTTCTTATTTCATTACGTCCCTGGCCCTCCCCCTAGGCCGCGCACATGCCGCCGGTCATGATTTGCAACCCCCCTCTTGGACACCCTCCTCTTGGCCGCTCCCGAATTAGTATCGCCTCGGCCACTACCTCACCTGCCCGCGCCTCATCCACTCCCTGGCCCGTCCCCGCTCATTCCTTTCGCCGACCCCCTCGCCCGACTGGGCCTTGGCACACCAGAGGGACACGCCAACCCAGAGCATCCGATCGAACAGGCAGCGCCATGCCATGCCTACTCATTGATAATATGCTGCGTGTAATGACGATCGCGGCACCCGGCGCTGCGCCTCTTTACAATACTGGCACGGAGCGCTTCGTTGCTTCATTTTTATGCCCTGCGCGCCTAGCTGGGACGCTGCAGAGACAAACTGCAGGCACGGTCGCTCCTCCTCTCCTCCTCCTCATCCTCCTCCTCCTCCTCCTCCTCCTCCTCGTCCTCGTCCTCCTCCTCCTCCTCCTCCTCCTCCTCCTCCTCCCCCTCCTCCTCCTCCTCCTCCTGCTTCTCCTCCTCCTCCTCCTCCTCCTTCTGCTTCATCCCCCTCTCCCATCTGCCAGGGGTATTTCCCGGCAGGGCCCCAGCTGAAGCTCGCGCCCCATCTGGCGGCTGGCGACCTTCAGGTTCCTGCGTCTCCCAGTTTTGGGGGTGCCTCGGGCCGCCTTCCCCTCGGTCGCACCTCACCTGGGGCAGTGGCGCCGGTCTGCCCCTACTAGAGGCAGGGTCTCGCCTTCACTCGGGCATGTCCCTCTGCAGGAGGTAGCCTCAAAAACAGTCAAGAACTGGTCTGGGGACGATATTCCGATGATTGTTCGACTATCTGTGATTGGTTTGGTAACTATGTTTGATTTGTCCTCAACTCCGCCTGTAGGCGGACATACCCGACCTGAGTCTCGACACCAGCTCCCAGGGCCGGTGTTTCGTCGCGGACCGTCTTGCTGATGGCCCCAGGGCATGAGAATTGGCCCCATTGTTTCTTCGCGACGCCTAGGAAGCTGGGCCGGCCCGTCGCTTTTCGCTCAATATCGACCCTCGGACCCACGTCAGGCACCCTCCTGACGGGTTCCCCGAGCCGCGTCCGGGTGTGGCCACGAGGATCCCCTCCCCGAAGCGCAGACCGTGCCCCCCAGGAGCCAACGAAAGTGGCCACTGCTGCGCAGTTCGCAGCTTCCCAGGGAGCCGCGAGGTCTCGGCGGGGTCCGCGTACTTCCCGACTCCGCCGTGCCTCCCAAGAGCCCACGAAAGTGGCGACAAATGCGCAGTTCAGAGCCATGCAAGGAGCAGAGCAGGAGGAGGGGGGAGGAGAAGGAGACGCGACCGCCGTGCTTTCTTCGAAACGAGAACCAAAACACAGGAGGGTTGGGAAACACAGTCCCCCCTTGTTACCTTGCCCTGTATGCTGCGAACGCAGGCCGGGGGGGGGGAGAAAGCACTATCAGTGGCACGCCACCTTCTAGAGCCCGTGAGCGTGTTACTCCTTCGTGTCTGTTCGACGGCCGGGAGTTCCTTCCGCAGCAGCTCCCTGATGGGTCCGCCGCGGCGCCGTGCCACTGGTGCTGTTTTTGCTCCCCAGCCGATGTGCCTCCTCGTCCACGCACCGCCCAGGTGCCAGACGTGCCGCTCGCACCTCCTCCACGAGACTCCCCTTGCCCCTCGTGGGCGATGGTATGGCGGCATCTTCGAGAGTATAGCGCATAGATGTGAGTTGTTGGTCGAGCGCCTCCTGTGAAAGTGAGCCAGCGTGGACCCCACGCAGCGGTTCCTTGCAGCGTATGCAGTGCAGTACAGGTGGTGCCATCAATGTGGTGCAATCTATATGGCGCAATCTATGTGGCGCATTGCAATGCAATGCGATGCAAAACGCTGAAATGCCATGTCAAGCCATGTCAAGCACTGCGCTGCAATGCAAAACAATGTAACTTGATGCAAAGCAGTGCACATGACGCACAGCAGCGCAAAGCATTGCAAACAAGCAATGCAGGACATTAAAAGCGATGCTAAGCAATGCAATCAAAAGCAATGCCATGCGATGTGATGCGATGCAAACCAATGCAAAACAAAGCAATGCGACTTGATGCAACACGGTGCAAAGCAATGCAATGTAGAGCAGCGCAAGGCAAAGCAACGCAAAGCAACGCAAAGCAACGCAAAGCAAAACAACGCGCAGCAATGCAAAGCCATTATGAGTGATGCTACGCAGTGCATTTCAAAGCAACCCAATTTCCAAGCAACGCACGGTCGTGCACCTGCGACTGCAGTGCAACGCGCTGCGAGGCAGAGCAGTGCAGAGCTCTGCAAAAGGCAGTGCAAGGCGAGGCGGCGGCCACGGGCGGAGGCGCCGCACGGCGGCAGCATCCCGCAGGCCGCTCCGACAGACGCGCGGCCCCCGTGGCAGCTGCGGCGGACGGCGGCCACGGGCGGCGCCAGGCGGCCACTGGCCGGCCACTCTCGGGCCGAGCCCGGCGGCGCCCTGGCTGCGGCGGCGACGGGCGGCCTTCCAAGCAGTGGCGAAGCGTCCTGGCTCGCCTATCGCCCTACCAGACAGTGTTCTGAGAACCTCTTGTGGTTTCCAGGAAGTGTTCTTAGAACATTTCTGGCTGGGGCTGTCTTGTTTTAACGCATCGGGTTGATGTTGTAAGATCATTACTGTTGTTCTTAGAACATTCTCGGGTTCGAAGAACATGTCGTGGTAGGACTATAGAAATGCCGGGACGGTCGGTCCCTGCTCAGCTGGCCTTCATACTGACGCTGGAGCGCAGCGGCTGCAAGCAAGTCAGCACGCAAATTCGTCGCTCTCGAGACTGCGATGCAATTTATCAAGCCAGGCACAACTGGGGGAGCTGTGGTCCTTACCCCCCTGGGGGGCCCCTCGATTTCGACACCCCTCTCGAGAGATCGTCGATGCGATGGGTTCCCCCAGGGGGGTAAGAACCACAGCTCCCCAAGTTATGGCTGGTCGGTTTACGAACGGCTTGCATCTCGCGCGTCAGCAGGCACAGGGCAAACGAGTGAGATTACGTTGTTTGTAGCACATTCGATGGCGACTCGATGGGGGAAGCTTGCAGCAAACAAAACCCAAGGCCAGGCACTGCTCGGGGAACTGCCCCACGACGCTCCCGCCCCAGAGCTCCCGACCCCTTCCCCAGTCGTTTTTCCCCGACCATCCAGTGGTGTTGGATCCTCGATTCGAAGAGACGGTCCCCGCGTCCCTGCTCCCTCCTTCCTTCCTCCCCGTCCTCCCTCCTCCTGCGCTTCGAGGCCCCGTCGTGAGCTCCGCCGAAGGCCCCAGTGGGACCGCGCGCGTGCGTCCTGTGGAAGCCCAATTTGGCATTCTCACCCACCCAGTGCAGCGCTTCGTGGCCCCATAGGGAGCTTCACCGAAGCCCCCCGTGTGACCGCCCGCGTGCGTCCTGGAAGCCCAATTTGGCATTTTCACCCACCCAGTACAGGTCTTCGTGCCCCCATAGGGAGCTCCACCGAAGCCCCCCAGTGGGAACGCCCGCATGCGTCCCCCATACACCCGATTTGGCAGTTTCACCCACCCACTGCTGCGCTTCGTGGCCCCATAGGGAGCTCCACCGAAGCCCCCAGTGGGAACGCCCGCGTGCGGCCGGGCAGCCCAATTTGGCATTTTTGCCCATCCATGCGTCTTGGAAGCTCGATTTGGCACTTTCACCCACCCAGCACAGCGTGTCGTGGCCCCATAGGGAGCTCCACCGAAGCCCCCAGCGGGACCGCCTGCATGCGTCCCAGAAGCCAACTTTGATATTTTCACTTGCCCAGTACAGTGCTCCGTGGCCCCATAGGGAGCTCCACCGAAGCCCCCAGTGGGAACGCCCGCGTGCGGCCCGCAAGCCCTAATTTGGCATTTTCGCTTGCCGAGTATAACGTTTCGTGGCCCCATAGGGAGCTCCACCGAAGGCCCCCAGTGGGACCGCCTGCATGCATCCTGGAAATCTATTTTGGCATTTTCACCCACCCTGTACAGCGCTTCGTGGCCCCATAGGGAGCTCCACCGAAGCTTCCAGTGGGAGCGCCCGCATGCGCCTGGGCAGCCAAATTTTAAATTTTGACCCACCCAGTACAGGTCTTCGTGGCCCCATCGGGACCTCCACCGAAGCCCCCAGTGGGAACGCCCGCATGCGCCTGGGCAGCCACATTTGGAATTTTGACGCACCCAGTGCAGCGCTTCGTGGCCCCATAGGGAGCTCCAGTGAAGCCCCCAGTGGGACCGCTCGCATGCGTCTGGAAATCCGATGTGGAATTTCCACCCACCTAGTACAGCGTGTCGTGGCCCCATAGGGAGCTCCACCGAAGCCCGCAGTGTGACTGCCCGCATGCGTCCCCCACACACCCAATTTTGATGTTTCACCCACCCAGTACAGCGCATCGTGGCCCCATATGGAGCTCTCCACCGAAACCCCCATTGGGACCGCCCGCGTGCGTCCCACACACCCAATATTGCATTTTCATCCACCCAGTACACCGTGTCGTGGTCCCATATGGAGCCCCAGCGAAGCCCCCAGTGGGACCGCCCGCGTGCGTCCCACACACCCAATATTGCATTTTCATCCACCCAGTACACCGTGTCGTGGTCCCATATGGAGCTCCAGCGAAGCCCCCAGTGGGACCGCCCGCATGCGTCCCACACGCCCATTGCGTGTCCACCCACCCAGTACAGCGTGTCGTGGCCCCATAGGGAGCTCCACCGAACCCCCCAGTGGGACCGCCCGCGGGCGCCCTGGAAGCCCAATTTGGCATTTTCATCCACCCAGTACACAGCGTCGCGGTTCAATAGGGAGCTCCACCGAAGCCCCCAGTGGGACCGCCCGTGTGCGCTCCACACCCAGCGCAGCGCTTCGTAGCCCCATAAGGAGCTTCACCAAAGAAGATGTTCACCATTGCGGTACCCACAAGTGCATATGGTTGGGTCTTTCGCCCGGATAATTCTCGCGTGTGCCATCTCTAGTTGTTGCAGCCCCGTGGCCCGACAACGGGCCGTGGAGGCCGAACGTGAGGACAAACGCCAGCATTGAAAATATCGGATTGTCGGAGATATGAGCCTTCGGGCCATTTCCCCAAGACCTTCCCCCCTTGCTCCTCCAGCTTGGATCGTCGCGGGGTACACAAGGGGAAAGTGGGTTAGAAGTGAATGCTCAAGTAGACGCTGCTTGGCCCAACCTATCTGACAAGTGGGTCGCGAGTGTCCTGGGTGGCTTGGGGGGTGTAGGTCTGGGCCAAGTGGGTTCCGCCGGCTTAGCACAGGTTTCTGATTGCCCTGAACCATGTAGGTCACGGCTCACGCCAGGTACGACCCACCCTGGCTTTAAATTGTAATCACCCCTATCCGCTTGGCAACCCCCGCGGTGATCCAAGAGGGGGTCCCTGCCAGGACCCACGCCATACTCAGTCCGTGAGTGCGCTCCAAGAAAGGTCACCAGAACCCTCTGCGGACCCGCGAGGCTCTTGTTCCTGGCCGCAGGCGCCCCTGGATGGCCACCCGTGGCCCCGAGGAGGGCATCATGAAGGCGGGGGGCAAGCCTCCGTGGCGGCCCGCCCTGCTGTTTCTCTCCCTTCGTGTGGGTTCGCTGCCACACCGTGGTCACCAACCACCAACAAATTCTTACGGGGGGCCTCGTGGAGCGCGCCCTCTGCGTGCTCGAGCGCCCCCTCATACACCCCCACCCTCCTCCTCCTCCTCCTCCTCCTCCTCCTCCTCCTCCACTTTCCCTCTCCTCCTCTTCTTCTTCTTCCTCCTCCTCCTCCTCCTCCTCCTCCTCCTGCTCCTGCTCCTCTGGTCCTTCCTCCTACTCCCTTTTCCTCCCTCCTTCCCCCCCTCCTCCCTTCTCCTCCTCCTTCTCCTCCTCCTCCTCCTCCTCCTCCTCCTCCTCCTCCTCCTCCTCCTCCTCCCTCCTCCTCCTCCTCCTCCTCCTCCTCCTCCCTTCTCCCTCCTCCTCCCTCCTCCCTCCTCCCTCCTCCCTCCTCCCTCCTCTTCCTCTTCATCCTCGTCCTCCTCCTCCTCCTCCTGCTCCTCCTCCTCCCTCCTCCCTCCTCCCCCGTCCCGGCCGAGAGGCAGAGCTCCTGCGCCGGAGCTGGCGGCGCTGCGAGGCGGCGCGGCGTCTGCAGTCGGCGTTCGTAGGGTGCGGCGGGGCGGGGCGCGGGGGGGGGGCCACGCGATCGGAGGAGGAGGAGGAGGAGGAGGAGGAGGAGGACCAGTGTAAACCCACGAGTCATCAACGATGTTGGAATTTACCCTCCCTCCAAGCTCCCTCTTCATAAGCCCCTACAGCGATTGATTTCCATTGGGGGAACTGCCTCGTTGGAAGACAACTGTTTGAAGACCCTGAAGCTTGTCAAAACATTGTTCTCCGGCTTTCAACGCCACGTATTAACCTGACTGCTGCGTTTTGGCGATATGGACTAATGCCATGACGGCATGTATTGATTTCATCACCACGAATTAGCATAATTGTTGCACCCGCATAATCCTGACTCCTTCCAAACAGCATTTCTTGGTACGCTGATCACTGGAATTTGTGGAACTCATTGCAAATATCTCAAACTAATATTCGCGGCGCTAAGGCGATAGCCACATTTTGAAAAGGAACCGCCCTCAATCCGTGAAGCACTTGCAAAGTTTTACAAAGCGGCGCGAAGGCGAGAGCCACATTTTGAAAACGACCTGCCCTCAATCCGTGAAGCTCTTGCAAATTTCGAAAACGAACGTGCGCGGCGCTAAGGCGAGAGCTACAGTTTGAAAGCGACCCACCCTCCATCTGCGAAGCTCTTGCCAATGTTTTACTCGAATGTGCGCGGCGCTAAAGCGAGAGCCACATTTTGAAAACCACCCACCCTCCATCCGTGAAGCTCTTGCAAATCATGAAAACGAATGTGCGCGACGCTAAGGCGAGAGCCACACTTTGAAAACGACCCGTCGGCAATATCTGAAATCTTGCAAATGTTTAAAACGAATCTGTGCGGCGAGAGTCACATTTTGAAAACGAGCTGCCCTCCATCCGTGAAGCTGCTGTCACTTCTTGAGCTTCAGAGTCATAAGTGGCGAGGAAGTCTCAGGGGAGTCGCCTGGCCCGCTCTGAATATTGGCCTCGGGGTGCGACAGGGAATGGGGGAGCAGGAGGAGGAGGAGGAGGAGCAGGAGGAGGAGGAGGAGCGAGCCCACGGAGCGACGTGCCGAGTCAGACTGAGGACGGATGGAGGAGGAGGAGGAGAAGGAGAAGAAGGAGGAGGAGGAGGAGGAGGTACCGCTACCGCTACCCGTCCCTCGGTTTCGCTGTTTTGGGCCTTTTTGGAGGCCCTCGCTGCCACGGCTGAATTCGCTTCGAAGTTTTGGTCAGAACGCGTCTTGGGAGAGGCGCAGGGAGTGTATCCATTGGTTCTCCCACGTGAGGGTTCACATGAGGTTGCCTCCTAGCATTGGGTTCCTTCCCCCTTTCGCACCCTCCTCTTACTACGCCGTTGCGAAGGCTCGTGACGCTTGATCTGGGCGTCAAGATGATATAGGCTTCGTCGGTTACTTCCGCGTGAGCGGGTGGGCGTAGGCTGACCCCTGCCCAGACAGCGCCGAGCGCACCCTTCTCACCTAGAATCCTTGCGTCGCACAGCTGTGGCAATGCCTTGCGTTCCTTCCACTGCGTCGCGCTGCCTTGCACCACTTCCGCGCTCTCGCTGTTTGTCGCATGTCCCAGTCATCTTCTGGCGACAGACGGGTGCGCGCGCATGTGTGCAATGTTTGTTTGGCCAGAGGGCCAGGGGCGTCCTGCAGCGCGAGCGTGTGCGAAGCACGCGCGCGCCGCGCGCGCCGTGCGGGTCCGAGTAGATCGCGGGAGGGCTCGGAAGCCAAGCAACGAGTGCGTGTGTGTCTGTGTGATTGCCGGCCGTTCCTCCTCTTTCCCCCGCGCAATGCGGCTCAATTGGCAATTGTTCGTCCAACTTCTGCCCTGCCGCCAGCGCAAACACTCTGCCTAGCCGCCGACGCAAAAAAGTGTGTGTGTGTGTGTGTGTGTGTGTGTGTGTGTGTGTGTGTGTGTGTGTGTGTGTGTGTGCGTGTGTGTGTGTGTGTGTATGTGTGTGTATGTGTGTGTGTGTGTCTGTGTGTGCGTCTGTGACGTCTTCGCGCGGGGGGGGGCCTGGGCGCGGGCGGGAGCCCGGAGACGCGTGGGCATTCCCCCCTTTTCTCCTCCTGTCCGTCCCTGCTCGTTCCTCTTCCTCCTCCGCGCCTCCCTCTTCCACCCCTCATCCTCGACACCACCCTCGGCATCAGATTCATCCCCTTTCTTCTCCGCGTGTTCTCCCTTCACCATGTTTCCCCATCCTCCCCCCTTCTCGCGCTTCTCCTCCTGCCCCTGTTCCTCCTCGCCCTCCTCGTCTTCCTCCTCACTCTGCGCGCCACCGGTCCAGCGCAGCTTGTGTTCTTCTGGTATCTTTCCACAGTCGGGGCGTTGACTTAAGGAACCCTAAATAAGGAACGAGGCCCTTTGCTCCCATAAGTTGCGTAATTTCTGATTTCCCATGGAAGACGAAAGGAAAACCCAAGGCAAACTGTACAACAATCAAGGAAGACCGAGCCCCTCCCCAACGAAAAGGGTTTCTTCTTCAGCGCCCCGACTGTATTCCGCCGTCCTCATCCTCCTTTCCCGTCCTACTCAAGTGGCTTGCGCCATTCTGGTGAGCCCCAGGAGAAAAAAAGCTGCAGTTGTTGCAGTGGCTCTGTCTTCCAGAGGTCATGGGGCTTAGGCGTCGCTTGCACCGTGGCGGCGTCCTGGGTTGCTGGTTTTTCTATGTGGGCTCTCTCGGGGCCTGCTTGGGCGTGTCCGGGCTCGTTGGGGGGGCATGTTGGGTTTGTGTAGGGTTCCTTGAGCTGTCCTGGGGGAGCTGTCTTTTTTTGGGGGGGGGCTGGCCGGGTGGAACGAGGGTGGGAGCGTCTGTGGCCGTCGTGGCCTTGCGGAAGCGCAGCGCGTGGACAACCAAAAAACATGATGAATATCAGTGCGCTCGTCGTGAACCCTCCTTGGAGGCTCATTGGGGGCTTCTTGTGCCGTCTGGAGGGCATCTTCGGCTGTCCTCCGGCCTTCTGTTGTTGCTTCTGGAGATCTCTTGTGGCCCTCCTGGAGGCCTTCGGGAGCGTCTTGGGAGCGCCTCGGGGGTCTTTTGGAGGCTCTTGAGCCCATGGTGGGGTTCAGGGCTCGGGATGCCGGCTCGCATCCCCCCTGGAGGGTCCCTCGTGGAGCCCTCTGGATCTGGACAATGACCAGGGCCGTCTTGGGGTCCTGTTGGGGTCCCCTTGGGCCGTGTTGGATCCGTCTTGTGGGCCTCATGGGCCGTCTTGGGACGATCTTGGGATCTCTTGGGCCGTCTTGGACGGCGTGAAGACGAACAAAGCGAGTACATATGCTAAGCACATGCGTTCTCCTACGGGAATGAGGCGATTCGTGCGTCTGGGGGGCCCTCTTCGGCGGTCCTTTGGGAGCGCTTTTGAGCTGTCGTGGCGGCCACGTGGGCAGTCTCCCAGCCATCTGGAACTGTGGTGGGGCTACCCAGGGCCATCGCGACGCCCATCTGGACTGTCTTGACGCTTTGCGTGAGCCCTCGTGGGCTGCCGTCGGAGTTCTGGAGAAGTTCCGGGAGCGCCAGGGATGCGTTTAGGAGCTCCAGCCCCCCTCCCCACCGACCCTACCCCCAGCTCTTCCCTCGCAGGCCCAGAGGTTGACACCAACACCAAGATCGGCGGTGTGCCTCCACCGAGGGAAGAAGATCCCGATCTCGGTGATGGTGGTAATACTCTGGCTTCCAAGGTGACCGAAATATTACCACCAACTCCGAAATCTAGGATCACCTTCCCCCTGTGGAGGCAACTCCCTGTGTTGGTGTTGGTGCCCATTTCCAAGCTTCTAACTCCCCCCTCTAACCGGATTTGGCGCTCCAGGGCAGGGGGGAAAGGGGGATGGGGGACAGCCCAACGTCTCACACGCCTCTTGGGTACCAGTAAGCGAGGGTCCGCGGAGTATGCATCTATCTTCCTCCTCCCTTCCTTCCCCTCATCCTCCTCTTCCGCATCTGTTTCATCCTCCCCTTCATCCTCCTCCCCTCATCCTCCTGCCCCCTCCCCAAAGCGTGCGAAGTGGGGGGGGGGAGAAGGGAGGAGGAAGGGATAGGATGACGAGACGGAAGGAAGAGGAGGAGGTGGAGACAGAGCGCGAGCGGGCGACATTGGACAGAGATCGGCCCAGGAGGTTAGCGGCGCAAAGCGGTTGCAGGAGAGGAAGGAACAGGGCGAAGGGTAGGGTGGAGGGTCGAGGGATGGGACGGCGGGAGGGAAGACAATGGCTCAGGAGGCGCAGGAGAGGATGATGGAGAGGAAGAAACAGGGAAGGAGGGGAGCAAGGAGCACGATGAAGAGGGGTTTGCCCCCTCCCCTCCTCCACCATCCCCTTGTCCTCCTTATCCTCTGCCCTGTTTCCCGCGTCTTCGTCCTCCTTGTTCTTCCATCCCCCCCTCCCTCCTTCCTCATTCCTTCCTTCATTTCTTCCTTCCTTCCTCCTCCCTCCCTTCTGTCCTCCTCCTTCCTTCCCTCCTTCCTTCCCTCCTCCTTCCTTCCTCCTTCCATCCTTCCTTCCTCCTTCCTCCTCCCTCGTGCCCCCCTGTGCTGCTGCGGGAGGTGGCGCGGGAACGCCAGGGCCTCCGGACTGCTCCGGTGGAGGTCCCGGGTGCACGGCCTGGCGCTGCTGAGGCCCGCGGCGGGAGGGGTATCGGAGGAGGAGGAAGGAGGGAGGAGGACGGAGGAAGGAGGGAGGAGGAGGGAGGAAGGAGGGAGGAGGAGGAGGAGGAGAAGGAGGAGGACCGAAGCGGGGTCGAAGCGGGTCGAGGAGGAGGAGGAGGAGGAGGAGGAGGATCGAGGAAGGGTCGCGGAAACGCACGCCTGGATGTAGGCGGGTGGCATCAGCGACGGGTCCAGCTTCCATGCAGGATCCTGGCGCTCCGTCGCCAAATCAGGCCGCATTGGAGCCATATTTCGGGAGGCACTCTCCCTGGATCTGATGCTCGAAGTGGAGGATCGAAGGAGGATGAGGACGAGGATAGAGCTTCCGTCTGAACGAGACACGTTGCTTCCCTGCCTTTTCCGTATCAGAAGGCGCCCCAGGAGATGATTGGGGGCCGATTGCGACGAGGCGGAGCCCAGACATCCTTCCTCATGATAGAAGATCAAGGCGGGTGGTGTTTGTTAATGTTGGGCCTTTGGATGCCCGCTTCGAGCCCCAGAGCAGTCACAAGACGAACCGTGATGAAACAAACGGGGCCTTGGGCGCAGGATTGAAAAGCAGACAAACAACCCAAAACAAATGCGCTGTCGGAGGCTTGGGAGGGGGAAGAAGAGGATCGAGGACTGGCGTTGTTGGCTCCTCCTCCTCCTCCCCATCTCCCTCCCTCCTTCCCCCTCTCCTCCTCCTCCTCCTCCTCCTCCTCCTCCTCCTCCTCCTCCTCCTCCTCCTCCTCCTCCGCCTCGTCCTCCTCCTCCTCCTCATCATCATCCCCCTTCCTCCTTCCTCCTCCTCCTCCTCCTCCTCCTCCTCGTGCTCCTCCTCCTTCTCCTCCTCCTCCTCCTCCTCCTCCTACTCCTTCGCGCTCGAATGGGCATTGAGCCCATTGGGGGGGGCAGACGGTAGACCTGGGTTGAGGCGAGAGCGCCGGGCCGCGGGCGGAACCGACGACAGCGGGTGCTCATCGCGGACCGCGCTTGCAGCGGTGCGCGAAGCTTTCCCGCCCAGCCGCCGGCAGGGTGGTCGTCGGCACCTGGCACTTGGTCGTCTTCGAGCTGAGGACCGCGCCTAGCACCAGAGGTGATGGGCCTGTTTTCCACCACCACCACCGCCATAGGTTGGAGGGGGGAGGAGGAGGAGGAGGAGGAGGAGGAGGAGGAGGAGGAGGAGGAGGAGGAGGAGGAGGACGAGGAGGAGCAGAAGGAGGAGAAGGAGGAGGAGGAGGAGGAGGAGGAGGACGGGGAGGACCCCCCCCTCCAACTTATGGCGGTGGTGGTGGAAAACAGGCCCATCAAGAAGGGGGGGCATTTCGGGCCTTGTGTACGGATGGGACGGAACATTGCCGGGGGGGAGGAAGGTGCACCTTTCGGTCACTGAGGAGCCCTCAAGGGGCCCTCTGGGGCCGACCACGAGGCGCACGACAGGGGCACGTGCCTGTTCTCCTTTTTTATCGCCCGCCCCCCCCGTTGAGCAACGCCCAAGCATCCCCGAATGCCCCGCGTGCAAGCTGTCTCGGTCAAGCTGTCTCGGTCAGTGTCTGCTCCCTCTCTTCTTCCCGCTGATCCTCGCACCTTGGAGGTGGGGCGGGCGATTCTCCTCCCTGCTCTCCTCCGCCCTCCTGTTCCCGCTCGCTCTCCCGCCTCAGTGGCCCCTTATCGCACTCCTCCGCTCCCTCCCCGCCCGCCCATCCTCTTGCCGCGTGTTTCTCGTGCAGGAGGCCACACGCGAACCCTACCCCACCACCCCACGATTTCTGGGGGGGGAGGTGGGGCTCACTTCGTTCTGGACCTCCCGAGCGGAGTGACCCCCACCTCCCCCTTTCGAAATCGTGGGGTGGTGGGGGCAGGGTTCGCATGTGGGCTCTCATCGTGCTCTTCCTCCCTCCGCCCCTCTCCCCCATTCCGCCCCCCCCCCCCCCCCCGCCCGCCCCACGGTGGGGTAGGGGGGTTCGCAGGTGGGCTCCTCTCGTGCTCCTCCTCTACCTCCGCGCCCTCTCCCCCAGTCCGCCCCCCCCCCCCCCCACCCCACACACACACACACCCACTCGCCCCCTTGAGCCAGGGGGAGGCTGGGCTAGCGTCCCAGGCGCTCGGCGCTGCTCTCCTCCTCCTCCTCCTCCTCCTCCCTCCTCCTCCTCCTCCTCCTCCTCCTCCTCCTCCTCCTCCTCCTCCTTCCCCCCTCCCCCCCGACTTCGATGGCACCGACGCTCGCGCCAACGGCGACGATGTCGGCATGGCCGTGGGCGCCCCCGCGTGAAGGACGGCGCTCGTCTCGCCGGCGTCCGGTTCGTCGCTTGCGAGCCCGCGCGCGCCTTGGGCGATCGCCACGCCGCCGCTCGGGAGCCGCGCGGCGCGCGCGTCGGCTGCCGTCGCCGTCGCCGGCGTCGTCGTCCTCCTCGCCGTCCTCCCCTCGAGGGGGCCGCAGCCGGAGAGGACGAGGGGGGGAGGGAGGGGGCGGGGAGGAGGAGGAGGGGGAAGGGGTGGAGGAGGGAGCTGTGGAGGGGCAGGGGGACGAAGAGTAAAGGGATTGAGGAAGATGAGGAGGAGAAGGAAGACACATATTATTATTATTATTGTTATTGTTATTGTTGTTATTATTATTAGTATTATTGTCATTGTTA